AAAGAAAACCCAAAAACGCAGAATTATTACCAAATTACAAAATTTCCTTCCAAAACAGGTGTTGTTTTTTTTTTTTTTTTTTTTTTTTTTTGTCTGCCAATTTCGAGATTATAAGCTTCTCATCTGTCATGTTGCGTCTGATTAAAGCCTTTTAGAGCTTTTATTCTTTCTTTATCTGGAAAGTCTCCTGTCCCAGTAGGTTTGATGCGAGGCTGTCAGGCAGCTAGTCTAAATTCCTCTCACTGTCAGAAGCCGTCGGCTGACAGAGAATCTCTTGGTGGTGACAACTAAATGATCTCTTTTTTATTAAACACCTCTTGCTATCTCTCCATCTCTCCCTGACTACTGCACTTCCTCCTCGCCTTTAGTATCTCATTTAATGATTTGACTGACTACTCTCCTTCCCTATTCCTCATTCATCAGTCTTTCACTCCCCTTCCTTGCTTTTTTTTTTTTTTCCCCCAGCTGCTCTGCTCTGAGCCTCCTGTGTTGTATCTTTATCGAATCCTTTCTATCTGCACCGCTTTTTTTTTTCTTTCTATAAAAGCAAAGAGGGAATATAGTTCCCTCTCTCACCTGGAGCCATCAGTCAGCCAGCAGCTCTCAGGCTGCTTGACAGCCGACTAGTCACTCATTGTGCAGTTTTGTGAACACATTAATTAAGAATGTCTCATCCACAAAGCAAGAAAGTGATCCCAGCTGATGTCAGTGATCCAAGTATTCTGTCTTACTATTTTTCCAACCCCCACCTTCACTTCTTTGTTATCCCACGTCTTCTTACCTCCTTCAGTTTGGGGCTTTAATTTATTTATTTTTTCTTACCCCTTCCCTTACTACTGAAAGACTGGTTTGATAGGAAACACTGTTAACTTCTTCAGGCCCTGAGACTCGAGAGCTCGAGAGCAGCTGGGACAAGGGGAAAATAAGCAAAAGCGATAGTGTTGGAGGTGTCAAATAAAGAGAGGATGGCTGCCTTGACATAAAAACTAGCGGAGAGAACAGACAGGAAGAAGCAAAGAGGTTGTCCAATCACCTTATGGACCTTCTGGGGATCAGTTCATAAAGGTCTGGTTATTATAGTCATTTATTAACCATTTCAAGAACAGCAGCGTATGCAATTNGAAACCATTCATTTATAGGCACAGCTTTTTATTGTCACTGTGTGACATTAAATTGGATGACATGTTTTCTTTTTGTAGGTAAATCAGAATTACCAAATGTATTTTTATTTGCTAAACCTTTCCTGCGTTAAGCTGAAGGAAACTCTAACTCACTAATGGATGTTTTGGACTCTCTAACTCTGTGACTGCGGTGGATTGTGGTCAAATGGTAATATGAAAATGCAAAGTTAACAGCTATAAATCTAATGCTTTGGACACAAATTGTTCTTCCAAACAGACATTGACCGTAAGAACATCCAGATTAGTTAGAAAGTTACTTAAGGACACCAAAGTCAATGTTTTGGAGTGGATGCTACAAAGCCCTGATCTCACTCCTGCCTGTAACAAGTAAACCTGCAAAGTTGACACGGGAGGAATTTACCAAAATTCCAATAGACTCTGCAGAAGCATCCCCCAAGCTATGCTTAACCTGACATAAATTCAAATGTGTGAAAGTAAAATAGACAAAAACACCAGCTTTCCTTCTTCATAAACTTAAATTTTAATTTGACTGACAGAAAGTTTATTTACTAGCGTTCTGCCTGTGCTCTACGCAGCTCTCCCTTAAACTGCAAGCTGTTTGGGGTAATGTGAAGGCAGCACACAGAGCAGGTTACATCAAGCACACGGAGAGGAAGTTGCAGCATCCAATGCAATCTGAATTTCATCGTGACATTCATTGTAACGAGTGACTGTTAGGCAAAAGGAAAAAAAAATGACATCAACCAAACAATGTGCAAGACCTATGAAACTGTTTTGCCTGCCACCATTATCCACAACAACAGGCCAGAAGTTGTTTTATATATATATATATATATATATATATATATATATATATATATATATATATATATATATATATATATATATAGATGTGCTGTACTTGGAATTAAATCAGGTCTTCCCTGATTACTAGAGTTTTAAGGAGGCTAGGAAGTTGATCAAAAATGTTTCACAAGTCTTTCTTTCTCTTTTATAGATATGGGAAGATTGTGTCAACAAAGGCCATCTTGGACAAAAACACTAATCAGTGCAAAGGTGAGTGAGCATCAGTAGACTGATTTTGGAGTGAGCATTATTTGTAGCCTTGAATAGACCTGAAAAACCTGAATCCTGATACGGAATTTGAGTCTGTTAAAAAAAAAAAAAAAATCAATAAAAATGCAGGTTCTTTGGCGGCTTAAAGGCAGACTAATCAATGTGTTTTGCTGGGAAGGTTTTTTTTTTTCATTAATCCCTTCCTTTTGCACTTTTTGCATCCCTTAATCAATCACGGCCTAAAAGTTATTGCTAAAAAAAAAAAAAAAAAAAAGTCTGCGTGGTTGTATTCAAGTTTTGTTTGAGGAAAAGTTAGGATTGTATTAGATTTCCAGCACAGCAGTGCTGACTGCCATAGAATCCATGTTACCCACTAATCTAAACAATGGACTAAGAGCATATTACTTGATTAAAGCCAGTGTGTGATTTCTAGTCCGCTGCCTGATGATGCTCAAAGTTAAGCAGCGTTTGAAAGGAAGATGTGGGCATTGTTGTCACAGGCCAAATCAAAATGAAGGACATAAAATAGCCACAATGTGTTTTCAATGGTCAGTGAGTGTCTATTGAGAAGCGTCTGTCTGATTGTTAAAGTGGTCTGAACAAAGCACTAATCAGAGGGATTGTTGTCATCTGCTTTTGAAGAGGCACCCGTGAGCGTGTGTTCACCATGATTACAGCTCATCTGCTGGGGCTGTTCTCAGAGGTGCATCAATATGCTTTAGGACAACATCACGGATGCCCTGTAATCAGAGTGTTCGCTTTCGGCGACAGGAAATCCCTCTGTAATTGGCTCTGACGGCATTTCTAAATCTCTAAATTCTTACACTTTTGGTGATTCCCAAAAGTGCAAGTGGTATCTTTGCACCTCTCTTATCATTCCACATTTAGTATAAGTAATTAAAAGTTGTCAGTGCCATGTGGACATACAGATGCCTTTTGGAAAAAAAAAAAAAAAAAAAAAGGGTAAAAATGTTTTTTTTTTAAGAAAAAAAATTAAAAAAATGGAACTTAGTTGCTTATCACCTATAATAGGCAATGTGATAGATTTTGAATGTTGCGTGTTTTCCTGTTACTTCAGATGACTGTTGGTGCTAAAATGTATTTACATTCTGTAGTTGGTCGTTTTCATGAGTTACTGCGTCATGCCATAGATTAGATCAGTCTGTGCCACTACTTTTAATAAGGAGGTGTTAAGGAAATTTAGCATTGCTATGAAGCTTGTCAATAAAAGAAAGCATGAAGCGCTCTAAAATGTTGTAAAGTTTGGACATCATAAAATACACATAATTTATTCTGTACATGCTTACTCTTCTTTCAAATTTTGAAACTTTACTGTCCAAATGAGATACAAAACCTACTTTCATCTGAAAAGAGACTACTAGGCCCATAGCAACTCCCCAATCCATTTTCTCGTAAGTAAAGGCTTTTATGACATTATTCAGGAGTGGCTTAGCACAAGACTTTTATTAGCTGCAGCCTGCGTATCTTTTTCAGCAACATGTTTTTCTTCCACGTAACTTTCCAGTATTATTGTTTCTTGGACTCAGTCATTGTCTGCAGTCATTTTTATTTTTCTTAGCCAAGAGCACTTGGTTAAAAAAAACGACAATTGTCTTATTGACTTTTGCTAAGCATTTTCCTACTTCATTTAAAGTGCTCAGTCTTTTTGTTTGGATGATCTTGCAAATCTTTCCTTCAAATCACATTAAAATGGGTTTTGTGGTTACAGTGAAGCCTTTTGTGAAATCATTCCAATTTGGACCAAAATGGGGAGCAGAGTCCTATAAAACCCACAGATGATTATCACTTGCTTTTACTACTAATTTTCTCATCTAATTATATTTTCCACTTCAGTTGCATTTCACAATTTTGTATCTTTTTCCATTCACGGTTTCCTTAGTTACGCACTTCTGTACATTCTTGGAAGTATTTGTTTATGATTGCATTACATTAAATTCTGAAAAATATAAGCAAAACCCAGATGCATTTTGGTCTAAATTATGTGTTTTTTGTGAGATTATTTTCCTAACCGAAACGTGGCGGGATATCAAGTTTTGATAGCTTCGTGCCGGCCCTGAGATCCAAACTGTAAAAACAAAAGAAATTCAAAGTTCACATTCACCAACTTCTAGAACTACACCAAGGGAAATAGTACTCCCCCTCTTCATGAGCTTATCACACTTAAATGACTGTGAAGGGGTTTTAATACTCCAGTCACCTAATCCAGCTTCAGCCAAACTTTAGCTGTCAGCCAGAAGGTCTCAAATTTAACTTAGGATTAGTCAGGTACACAGTTGGAGTCCACATTCAGCTCTGTGGGTGCATGATTCTCAATCATGTGGTTGTGAAACAAGTCCAAATCAAAAACCCCTGCAGCATCGTTCCCGACAGCTAGTTTGAATGGTTTCAATGTTGTTTTGAAAACGCGGTACAGTGAATCAGCGCCTAACTTCTCCGTTTTGTCCAAACAATGTTGTTCCAAACCTCTTGTGGTTTGCTCCTTTTTGCAAGTTTGCAAAGAAACTTTCCCATACAGAAAAGAAGCTTTACACTGCCATCCTATTAAAAGCCACCAGCAACAACTAAAATCGTATTTATGCTGTTGAATATATGCTGTTTAATATGCTTACGCCCTTCCTTTAAGACATTTCTCCCCCTTACTGTTTTTTCACAGCCTTCGTAAGTAGGGTGGGGTCCTGAGTGCAGCTCTGTTGTTTGGTCATTTTTCTGAACATTTCATCGTGTGACCTCATGGGAAACTAGACATCCGTTCCTGAGAAGACTGTCCACTGCCTGAAATTGTTTCCTCTCATAAGTCATCGTTATCTTTGTTTCTGTCACAACTTAAAGTATTTAGAGAAGGGCCAGAGTGTTCCCAAAACGGTAGAAAAGGAATTAAATTGTTTCATTTGAGTTATTTTATTAAAGGAAAATAGACAATGCATTGGACACTTCTATTTAAAAATAATAATGGTACATAGTGTGTTTTCGATTTATTTTCCCAAGCACTATGAAAGTATTTTGTAATTATTCAAGCAAAGGTTTAAATAGAAAACTTAATGAAGCTATTATGTTGTGTTTTCCTGACAATTGGAGTCATCTGCAAGTTAATTTATGGATGGTCTTGGGAACAGTGGTGGTTTTTATTCTTGCTTAATTTTATTCCTTATTTCAAGATTACAACTGATCAAAGTGTAAAGCATCCAGCTAACAAAAATATTAAAAACTAACAAATTAATACAGTTTTCGTAAAATAGTTTAAAACTGAGGAAAATGTGTATGTTTAGTTTTCTTTTTTATCTTGAAGCATTATTGAAATTACTTTTCTAATGAAGTCGGATTCTTAAAAATGTGACTTATCAAACATGCCGAACTAATCAAAATATAAAAAAAATATATTTTTTTTTTCTGAAGCAATATTAGCTGAAGATATTTTTTAGCACTATATCACTTATCTCAAGACCAGACATTATTTTGGCATTGTACCCTTACTGTACTCTCCATGCATTTTAAGAAATGACAACCCCCCCCGTGCCCCCCCACAAAAAACAAAACATCACATTCCTAAAAATAATGGCCAAAAGTGATTTTGTCAAAACAAAATTGACTTTTGCCATTATTTTAGGAAAGTGGTGAAATGTTACCGCATAAGATCAAGCTGCACTTTTAATTATATTTCCATGCTCCACTTAGATAGAATCTAACAGCTGCGGCAGAAGCAACATAGGCGCATTTTTCAGACTGTAACTCTCTTAAGCAATTTCACCGCTCATGGTGTGGACTTCATACATCTCTTAGCCAGTTGTTAACTCACAATGAAGGAGTTTCATTATCAGTTGGCCATTAGAGTGCTGTACAACCGGATAAGTGTTGGTTTGATTGCAAAGGCATTCAGTGGGGACAAGATAATTGCTTAGCGTGACTAAGAGCGTACAAATTGGCTCGGAGAGCTCTCTTGGAAAGAGAGGGATGGATGGGCGGATGTAGCGAGTGGCGGCAGGAGGGGGTAAAAATAACCTGAGGCTGACAGAAAAGGAAGGCGACCCTTTGAAACTGATGATTTAGCAGACAGTCTCATCTTTTCAGGAAGGCTGGTGAGGGAGGAAACAGAGGGTGGGTTTTGTTTTGGAGACACGGAGGTAATGAAATCAAGCCATCTGGCCCGGATGATCCCCTCACATGTCGCTGCACCCGTCATTTGAAAGCATTTTTCAGATCCGAACTGAGTCGATTCATTATTTCCTTCATGAAAAGTGAGACTTCTTATGGAAGCACTGTCGAGGCATTACTTCTGCTGGCAAAAGAATAAAAGTAAACAAACAATAAAAATGGTTTTAATTAGGCAAGCAGCAGTGTTTGCTAAAAACAAAACAAAAAAAAACAATTTTGTGAAGACTTTCTTACACTTTCCTTGTGGTTTGCAGCAACTTTGCAGTGACAGTTTTCTTGTTAGCAGCGTGGGGAGCTGTGATGGAGCGAGCGGGCACAGAGCGCAGGATGGAGGGAGGGAGAGGAAACCACTTTAGATACGAAAGGATTTCCATTTCCCAGAGACAAGCAGCCTCCCTCTCAGTGTCTCCTGCCCACATCTTGCTCTCTGCTTGTCCCCGACTGTCTCCTTCTCTACTTGGTTGGCCTGTGCCTTTGTGCCCAGGCCAGGAAATCTGAACGCTCAGGAGATTGCATGGAACCTATAGTGATGTTTGTGTGTCCGTCTGTCAGTCTGTCGGGTCTTCTTGCATGGAAAACTACGTGAGATGAGTTAGGAGGGTATTTTTTGATGTGTAGAATACAGTTTTTCTTTTTTTTTTTTTCTTACAACAATGTCATGATTTAGATTATGAGAGAAGCACTAAAATCAATGATAATGTGAATAAATGCAAAATGTAGTTTTCATAAAATGATTTCATTAAATAACGTTTAAAAAAAATCTACTGCAAAATGAGCAACTCTGTTTGAATAAAATATCTCCATTGTTAAATCTAAATTATAATTTTAATTTAGTACATTGTTTAATTAATTTCACAGGTCACACACAGCCACAATGTCTTCCAAAAATGTTCATATAAGCAATCACGTTAATGGATCACATCTAATAAAACAAAGTAGGGTGAAAGATTTCAAATATGACATATAGACTTACAAGACTACAGAAAAATCTTCAGGAATGTGTGTGTCCGGTTAGATGTGATGTAAAATTAACGTAGCACATGTTTTTGGTTAAATGCTTCATGCATACAGTTAAACCTAAGAGTATGTAATAGTATATACTCTTAGGGCCGTGGTGCTGCTTCACGGTCTCAACACCATGTTGGAACCAGGAAGTTTGCTCTCTACCAGGGAAAAGGAAATTTAATCAAACCTTCAATCTGATTAATGCTTTGGCATGACCTTAAATAGTTAGAGTTTGTAAACCTTCCACTGTGAACAAATTAAAGCAATTTTGCAAAGAAGAGTTGGACAAAATCCACCCAAAGTGGCGTAAAAGTTACATTGTTATTGTAAATGCGTAATGATAGTTTGGCACAACCACTCGATAGGTTTTGAGGCTCATTGCTTTTCCATTTTGCTTGGGACAGCTTCTTTTTCATCTTTTAATCAACAGTATTTTAAGGCATACTTCATATTGTGTGCTCTCAGGAAAGGGTAACTCGGGAAAACCAGAAGAAGTATGTAAGGGTTAGTGCACTTTTTTTCATTGGATCTGCATGTTGAGTTCAGATTCGCGGAGCTGTCAATCATCACAGAAGATGAGCATCTGCTCCCAGATTTAGCAAGTGTCCGTCTGGATTAAAGGGCCTTGAGCAAGACAATGAATCTCCAGCGGCTCCTCGGGTCTGTTCTGTTTCTGACACTTGACCCACGACCTCAATAAAGCCACAGACAAAAACCTTTTCATAAGAAAGTGATGAATAGACTTTGAGCTAGCGGTTAACTCGGTTCAAGGCTATTTAGCGCCACCAAACATGTCAGGGAGACGGACACTTAGACATTAAATTTCCTCATAAGAAATATTAATATCACTTGGGTTTATGTGTAACATTTTGTGTCCGACCCAACTAGATCAAGTGCTGTAAAAAGCGCAGCCACCCTCAGATGTCTTTAGAATAACTTAAAACCTTCAGGGTGAAACTAGATTACATGCCAACATCTACAGTGACTCAATATTTTATTTAGGGAGCATGTACCAGACGCCTGAGACATGGATTCAATTTTCTGGAACTGTAATACAGAGAAGGCATTTGATATTGGTATATCACTGTAAACAGACCTGCTCCCAGAAGTGGTTCCTGGTTATGCTGCAGATTTAATCTGCAGCGTCTAGTTTCATGGCCGTGAAGTTCGTGTGTTGTAATCACTGCTGTGATTTTTCCAGTCTACCGGCACCTTCAGTTCTGACTAATGAAAAAGGAACGGCTCACCCGCTGTAGTTACCGCATTCAGGTTATTCAAGGAATACTCAATGCTAAACACCTCAGTTTTAAAGCTATTCACTTCTACCCTGCCTCCTTTAGAGAGATACGTCTTTTAGTATCGGTGAAACTGAAATTCTAAATGAGATGAGATCAAGCAGACATATTTTGAATTATCAGACAATGATTTTGCTCTGGCCAGCTGCAACTCAAGGGCAGTGAAACAGAGTGTAAAAGTTGTATTTCAGGATTATGTTGTGGACTTTCCTATGTTTATCTGAGTCATACATTTTCCATATCTGTTATTGTGTGTTAATACTACTGATTAGTTTCTCATTAGTTTTACTGCCTTGTTAAAAAGCTTTTTTTTTTACTCTGAGCTAATGCAACAAAATGGCTTTGAACTTATTTAAAAGCAGTTTACTGCATTCACTTTATATATCGATGTTTCAGGTGTAAATCCAGAGGAAAAAAATGACTGCAAAAATTGAGGGCTCTTAAAATCAAAAATGCAGTTCATCTATCTGCAAAATATAAGTTATGACACTATATAAATATTTGACTTGTGAATTTTTTATTTTTTTTTTTTAAATGACTCTAGGACAACCTAACTCAAACAGCTGACATGAACTATTCATACCTAACTTAAAAATGCTGATGATAATAAGCAGAGATGTACTGAGCAGAATAAATATTTTTTTTGTATATCTTTTATCTGTTAATTTGCATTATTTTTCAGGAACTATAATCAGCAGCAAAATTCATTCTTCTGCTTTCTCTGTTAATTTAAAATGAAATTATCTGTGATTTAAATATGCATGCATGCTTTATTAAAAAAAAAATAACAACCTTTTCTCATAAACAACTGAAAGTTACAGACCTGGCTCACCAAGCCTCATCAACAAATATCATGCAATCCCTCAGGTTATGGAACAATCCATATAAATATTAGACAGCCTCCACCTCATGAATAATCAATCAGTCATTAGCGGCGACGTCACACTGTGTGAGTTGGCTCTGTAGCTTTAAACTATCTTCAGCATCTTATATTATTAGTTACTGTGGTTACCATGCTTACTCGATGCAAGCCGTTTGCGTTACCATGGTTGCGTCAGACCTTTACCTTAATTGTGAGATTGTCAAAACTCGGCCAACATTTCCAAATTCAGGATTCTCAGTAACAGGTTGAACTTGACTCGTCAAAAGAATAAAACAGAGCATTGTTACCGTTGGTCCTTTTAGCTTCCTGTTTTCTGATGGAGTCTCATAGCTCTGTATGAATAAATTGCTGACATTCATTCAAAGTACAGTTTTGTTCCGAGAAGTTTGTTGCACCTTTTCTTACTTTATTTTTCAACACCTAATTTATTCTTAAAAACTCATTTTGTGTGTAAAATAGTCTGATTCTGCTCAACAGCAGATTTCTCAGTACTTGTATATTAATTAAGCTGCGCCTAATTAGAAAGTGGAGACCCACATTGGCTCAGTTAGCAACACTGTTGCCTTTCAGCAAGAACTTTATATCCCAGTGTGTGGTTTTTTTTAACCTTATGTGTTCTTATATGGGTATTTGTGTCTATGCTGCCCAGTGACAGACTGGCGGCCTGTCCAGATTGTACCCGACCTCTCACCTTTTGACCTCTAGAGACGGACACCATCTTATCCTTCAAGGACAAGCAGGCATAGACACCGGATGAACGGATTATTTAGAAAAGAGGTTTAAAGGTTTTGCAGACTTGTAAACAGCTATTTATTGAATTGTGTCTGTTTTTGTTTTAATAGAAACTTTAAAGCTTTCCTGCTCTAAATTTTTAATTAGCCATTATTTTTTAATCATTCAGGCATATACATTTCGCCGATTTTCAAGCAGAGATCATTATCCAGGCTACACAGGAATAAATCAGCCTGGCATGCATATTATGTGATGGATCAATCAATTCTCTGTGTTTAAACAGTAACTTATCCGTCAGAGTAAGAAATGCCAACATTTTCTAAATCCGGTGGAATAAAATAAGGACATTTTATCAAGGTGATAAATACTGTATGCATTGATATCTTCGTAAGATGGGCATTTGTCTCTCTTCTTGCACTAAAATTGATAAATAAGCAGCATTGTAATTCTTGTGCACATAGACCATATTTTTAAAAATCTTGCTTCCCTTATTATCTTTGTATTTGTGCTTGTCTTTACAAGTCAGAGTAAATTGCATATGCATTTTGTATGTTTATGTATACTCTTTTCTGAGGTTGCGTAACCCTATTTTGGCAAAATTCTGGTTTTCTCATTAGCCAGCGTATAAATATTTGCGTGCGCAGGGCAGATCTTGCTGTGAAAGCAGCTTGCTGCCTTTGAACAATTAAAAAAAAGAAGAAAAAAAAAATCTGCTGCTTATCAGCAAAACAGAGTGCGGCTCCAAATTCGGGAGGAGGAAGAAAGAAAGAAAGACGGGAGCAGATGTTGCGAGTGAAATGTTTGTCTATGGGTGAATGTGCAAGAGTGAATCCCTCATTCTAAGTACATTTTTTATTAAAAATTGTAGCAAGTTATACTGTAAACATCAGGTTTGCATACTTGTTTTAGGACTCAGCCCAGTCAGTTATTGTTCTTTTCGAGTGTTGATGTTTTGCCCTCATCCGTGGGGCATAAGTTTCTCGTAATTTGCTCACATTTTCAACACACAAGCGCATGCAATCTGTCCGTTTGGTTACAGAGAGACTGAGGACGGCCTGTCTGTTTGTTGACATCTCCTCCCAGCTTTCAGCCATGTGACCTAGTAAATCTAGGACATGCACTATTTCTGAAAGTGGAGATTTATGAGTGCGTTCGGACCTTTTGTCCTCCAGATCTTCCTGTAGGGCCCAACCCATGTCCCCCGGGCCCCAGCGCTCTAACAGATGCACGGACACTAACAGAGACTAAATAAATAGATAAATAAATAATGCACTCTGTTTAAAAAAGAAAGAAAACAAAACAAAAAAACAGAAACTTGCTGAAAATTGAATCCCCAATCAAACATCCTAGGCTAAAATCTAAATCAGCCAGTTTTGAAGTTTTCATGAAATATGTGACTTGACTAGATTTTGACACATTAAAACATTTTACAACATGCTGAAGACAAAATAGGATCTCTTTCCTGAGCAGAATTGCACTTGCTTGCCAACATATTTGAGAATTCTCTCTGATCCCAGCTTTTTGTTTTCGTTCTTTTTGTTCTGTTTGGTCCTAAGACTACTTTCTTTTCCCATCACTTGTTTCATTTTTTTGTTTTCTTTTTCATTCTTACCTCTCTTGTTTGGTTTTCTGTGTGCAGGCTATGGCTTTGTGGATTTTGACAGCCCTGCGGCAGCCCAGAAGGCTGTGGCCTCGCTCAAAGCCAGTGGAGTCCAGGCACAGATGGCGAAGGTAAGGTTCATCTCACCCGCTCCCTCTGGTCTGATGAACTTCTGGGTTTGTGTTCATGGATGTAGAAGACTACCTAAAATACACAATAGAGGATAAACATTTCTACAGTGATTTTTGGGCTTACTGTATGTAATGGTTACTTATATTGGACTGACTGGTGCCATTCCCATTGAGTTAAATAGCATACTGTGCAACTGGTGAATTTCGTAATGTATATTTTCTTTTTGACATTATTCAAGAATTTTACAAGACAGTAAAATTGGAAGCCATCCTTCATCCTATAGTCTATTTATTTTTCTCTTGCATAGTATTCCTATTTCTTCAGTTTTAATTATAAATTAAAACAGAATTTGCATGCCTCTTGAACCTTTCTGCATTTTGTGAAATTAAAACCAAAATCATGGATTTTATTCAGAAGAGAAGCACAAAGTTGTGCCCGTTTCTGAAGAAAAATGAAAAACAACAACAAAAACAAGTTTGTTCTCACATTGGATGAAGAGTATTTGTGAATATCAGTTTTTAAATATTGCCCCAAATTAGCAATTGTATTCATGCCATGAAAGAAGAACATCTCCACAGCATGACGCTGTTGCCAACTTTTTTCAAAATGGGAGTGGTGTCTTCAGTAACAGACTCTCTTCTTGCTACTTTTCTGTGAAGATCCAATTTGTGGGAGACTAATGGTTGTTGTGTTGGCAGATTCTCCCAACTTGATGGTGGATCTCTGCTTCTTTAATCTCATGTGTGTCATGTAAACATTAAACAGAGGTGAGAAGACAGGATTGCAACTTTATTATTCTTTGCACATAAGTCTTAAGCTACTAAATCTCAAAAGTGGTGGAACTGCGTCCCGTCTGATGGCCGCTGAGCAACAGATATAAAGCACTTTTCAAATAAACTCCTATTGAGCAATGTCAGATTCTTTAATGACACCCTCAAAGGTGATGAATTTTACCCACAAGTCATTATGGTGTCATTAGCAAGACTGACTCACTCCTAATCATTATGGTCCACTTGAAAATCATCCAGTTATTAAAGAAATATTGGGTCCTAAATTTTTTATTTTTTATTTTTAATCTGTCAAACACCTGCATAGCTGTGGTCAAATCTGCCTCCCAGGTCTACGATGATAGCTTCAAAATACAAAGCTTAGGATTTTCAGACAGCAATTAGCTGTGCAGTAATAGTGGCTGAGGCCAAGGTCACATTTTGTGAGTTTCTAAAGAGTGAAGGAAAAAAGTATAGCTAAGAAATGGATAGAGAGATGTTTACCAATAAACATAAATGTGTGGCGTTAAAATTACTTTTTTTCTTTTAGGGGTGACTTTTAAGAATTCAAATTGTTGCTACAGTAAAAAAAAAAAAAATGAAAGGAACTATAGAAGTTTTTTTAACGACGGTTTTTTCCCCAAAACATCTAGTAGTAACGCAGAGCAGCTGTACATAAGTGGAAACAATGTATTGATGTCGTGATAATATGGATGATTTCCATGTTCTAGCATTATCCCTTGCATTTATAACACTCCTCTCATTATCCACCGGCACCCAATTTAGGAAGTGGTTAAAATATGACACTGATAAATGGGACGTTCCTTCAGAAAGCATGATGGCTGATGGTTTTTATATCACCACCTGAAGGAAGTTTCAATAGACACTGGAAGAGGTTGGGTAATCCAAGAAAATTAAATTCAGCGTAAATTGTCTGTAACTTTATTGCCGCATACTTCCCTTTCTGAGGCAGAAGAGTACAATTAAGATGGGCCAGTCTTCAGGCAGCCGGAGCATCCCACTGAATTAAACAGCAGCAAACCTCTAGGCCACCTTTGCCATTTCCTTCCATTAAACCTCTTTTCATTAGCCTCCCATCTCTCATTTTGTTCCTAACGGATTTCGGAGCGCGAGCATTAGCAGCAGAGGGGTTGTGATGTGTTTAGCGGGTGTTCTAGGAAGAAGACCCCTACAACGCCTCAGGGATTAGGCTTTCCAGAGAGATGGAATAGAGGGCGAAAAGTCAATTCCAAATGAAATTACACATACTTCTTACTGTGTCATGAGCTAATTATGGAGAAAGCCACTCATTTCCCACCTAGTTTTGTTGCAGTGTGCAGCTAGCTGACTCAAATGCGGCTCCAGCGTGTAGCATTTTGTGTTGGTGCGCTAATTGGGTTTCGCTGAATCTTGATTTTAATTAAACTGGGGAGAAAAATGCTTATTATTTTCTTTAAATTGTCTTCATTAGACATAGTCTGATGTGAGATTGTGAGAGCAAAAATGCTGTTGCTTTGGGAAATGTTGAGAAAAAAAATTAAAAAACTTTAGCTGGGTATTATGTGGCACTGTGTCAGAGCAGGTCCATCACATTCAGGTTGTAGTGCTTAATCAATGTACTGCTACAGAAGTGGGCTCTTTACTGCATGTCTTTGGCCTCTCTTTCTGCTCTTCTTCCTGTCAAGTTACTAATAAAAAACATCCCTTTCACCACAAAATCTAAAAAAAAATGCCTGCCATGAACTCGTTGTACCTGTTTTTATTTAAAACAGAAAACCAAAATGATTCACAGACCTGCTAAATGATTAGTACAGCCAAATTAATACTATCTACAATCTTTAGCTATTTATTTAATTATTATTATTAGTAACTTGTTAATTAGTCGGGTTATCTGCATGGGTCGGTTGTCTTCATATCGGTTCTAATTGCAGCTTGTCAGTTTTAAAATAGGTTTATCCTAATAGAGGGGATGGATGGCGTCTTATGTTTTCACGACCAGAAATGTGTCTGACAGCAGAATTTCTGTTTTTTATAAGCAATGAAAAATGATTGAAAGCCAAATAAGCTAAACAAAACAACAACTGATCAGCCATTTAATTTTTGACATAAGTCAGTAAGCATCTTCCTCACTTGTTCAAGATATTCAAAGTGGACAACGGATGAGATTTGTGAAAACTGCAAATACAATCAGGAAGACTGTAAAACAACTTGCTCCGATACAAACATTCCCTGAAGTTCTTTTAGTTCTGGGTTGGTTCGATATTTTCGACTTTGCGACTGGAAATGCTGAACCTGAGCCAAAGGTTCATTCTCAGTCTCAGGAGGTTCTGCTTCTGAGAGAAATCTCTGGACTGTAAAGGTTATGCTGGAACTGGGAAGACTTTGAGACTCTAAAAGACAGGAGGTCATCTTGAGGTAGTTTTCACTGAAGAATGTGCAGATAGTTTATTGACAGTTTTATCCAAATTTAAACAACTGATTCAGTTTCAAATCGAGAGTAAAGCACATTTTTGTTGCTGTTTTTAACCGTCATTTCACTAAGGAGGCCGTTTCTGTCTTGTTCCCATATACATTCACATGTGGATATGAATGTATCCACATATGGATGTGGATACATTCATATTTAGCACAAATATGTTTTATTTATTCTCCAGTTAAATTTAAGAGTGCTTCTTTTTCTTAGATCTTAAAGTGTCAGGATATCATGACGTGTTCCTTGTTGGAATTGGTTGTGTACTGACAACATTTAGGTAAGCAGATCCATCTTTGAAAAAAAAGTTTCAGATTTTAAAAGACAAATGACAGGATATAAAGTGCAAGATTTTATTTTATTTTTCTTACTTAACTTATGAAAAGTTCTTTCCTCGTTTAGATCGACCTCCAAATAGACTGGACAAATGTGGCAGGAAGATGAAGCAGATGCATATGAAATTATATTGGTTTAATGATTTGTAGGTTATGATAGGAGGGTCAAACTGTCAAATTTGTAAAGGTTAAGCTCACACTTAAACCCTCGTTATCAATGTGGCTTACTTCCTGCTGCTTGTCTCAAAAAAACAGTAATTCAAACATGCTTCAAGATGCTTCGTTGCTTGCAGAATATTTGCAGCTCTACAGACATTTTCTTACATTAAAACATTCTCCAAGGACTCCATCATGACAGCATAGCACAGGAGAAAAATGGCTTGGTCCTCTCAAACATAGACACCTGATACCTGAATGTAGGTGCCTGTGTTTATAGTGACCTAGAGACTCAATATCTCACACATAGCAAAAAAAAGAAAAAAAACAGAGTCTTGTATAATTGATCTAAGAAAGTGGGAAAATTACAACATGGACGGTTGTGCAATGTAGTGCTCAAGCTTATGCAGAAATATGAAAATGAATTATTAGTTGAATAAAAAAGTGGAAACTTTCTGTTACTTATATAACTTTAGGTGATTTATTTTTTACAGTGTTTTTTTTTATTTGTAAATAGCTTCTGCTGTTAACATTTGCATGTCTCTGTTTCTTTTGCTATTTCCTAATTGCTTTTGCCTTTCCTTCTTTGATTTTGTTGTTTTACTGCTGCACGCATTGCACTGCTTAAAATATTAAAGAGCTGCTATTTGCTTATAGTCATGAAATGCTATGCGTTCTAAATTTCTTGTCAGTGTTATAAAACCTCTTCAGTGTTTCTAGTATTAAGGGTCCTTAATCATAAGACCCAAGCTGAGTCTTAAATCCCCTCCTACATAAATATACCCGTCCTCTGGCAACTATTTGGATACGTGAACACATTTGACCATGCGTCTAAATTTGTCCAAGCTGTTTGTACTGTAAGAACACCCCCAAAAAAGGAGACCGAGTTTCTTCTTAGGCACCCAGAACTGGTGCAATTGGAAAAGATGAATCGTATTCTTGTGGGTGGGGGTGTGTGTGAGTGAGTGTATGTAAAAGTCATGATTTATTTTACAAGTTAGCATCTAATCACTTAGCATTCTTTTTTTTCCATATTCTGTTGTTCATGCACAAACTGTTCGATAACTTTTTGAGAAGAGCTGCTCTCACACACATGTTGTAATGCTTTCATCAGCCGAAAAGAAAACT